AAATGATTGTTTGAGTTGAAAGCAGCTGTTTAGGAACGCTTTCATCAAGCAAGGTAATGGTCACATGCAAAATATTCATTCTGAAATGCAAAATTTATAGTTTGTAATGCATCATTAGCTAATCCCACTGACTTCCGATCTTTTATGAACTATCACAACATCCAAGACTTTTGCTGTGTTTCAGGAGAAAGATATACTTCATGACAGTATTGCAGTATTTCTATTAATGTCTCTGTTACGCTTGAGCATCTGAATTCAGATAGATTTTTTTTTTCCCCAAGCCAAGTCCGACTGAAACAGTGACAAAAACTCCTTTCTCCTGATAATCCTGAGCCTTTCAGGCTTTACTGATAGTAACTAATGATACCCAAAACAAAGTCTTTGCTAGCCAGTTAAGTTCTTTATTCTTGAATTATGACATATAGGTCAGAACCATATGCTTGACCTAAAAACTTGTTTACCTAGTAAATCATGAACTGAACTAATTTCTAAGCAGATCCAGCTAAATTACATTAGTGCGGGCCTTCTCATCCTCAATCAAAGTGGACATCATTCACTTCTACAGTAAACTATGACAGAAACCAAAGACTACTAAATTTAGATTTAGTTAACCTTTCATGGAAAGTGTTTCACAAATGTAGATACAGTTTCCTATAAAACCCCATCTAGACAAGCCTCACATGTGGAAGACCAACATTTACTTTTGCTTTTTATTTTGGCTGTGCTGGTGACTAGAAAAAACTCAATTGCATCTTGCAGACGGGTATGATACAGGGGCGGTTGAGCCAGGCAATTGGAGATGATTTTTCTGTTTCGTTTTTTTTTTTCATCTATTCGAGCTGTTGTGTGTAGTACAATTTTTTCTGGTGCAATAACAGTTCTCTTTGCAGTCAGTTTGTTACCTCCCATTAAATCTAATTCCAGCCTTTCTAGCTTTGCAGAATAGCAAGTCCCAAATACTCTTCTAAATCCTTTCTTTGTTTTACAGACATCCCTCAAGCATATCTCAGTCTTCTCTCCTTCATATAAATATCAGTTCCCTCCTGATACTTCAGAAGGATAAAGGACATCATATGTTTTACAACAAGCTCTGTTGCCTCAAGAGTTAAAAGATCACAAGTTCTGCATTTCTGTTCACCACTAAAGCCACCTCTTTGCACCACACACACTCACACCTGCCAGTCACTTTTTGGTACATTTCCCAGCCTTCTGATGAGAACTTGGCTGTCTGCCATGCCCTTTATCATCAAAAGCCCAAACATCTTTCCTTATCATGGTGTTTTTCATTCTTCCAGTACCAAGATCTGCAGTGAACCCTGCTCTCTCCCTGCCATGTCTCGTACTGAAGAAGTGTTTTCTGTACTCCATTTTCCATCCCCAGCTTGTCTTCTGCAAGGCCTAACGCTCCCTCTGCCATCACAATGCCCAGAACATCTAATGTCTGGTCTTTACACTTACCATTATGAGTTCACGCAGTGCAACAGGAATGTAGAGTAGTGTCTGATATTTCTATTGGGTATGGGCAATGAATTGCATTTGTGCAAAGAGAAAAATAAGAGCTTCTTAATAAAGAGTAACTTTTAATAAGCAGTAAATTGTTTCTTGACACATAGTAGTAGTTTCCAAACAAACTTTACACAAACAAATATATTTTCATCATGTTTCTCTGCTCTTTTCTACTGCCCTTTCAGAAGGATTTGACAGAGTACA